AGGAAAATCACTTTATCTTGAAGTGTTTTATATGAATAGTGCATATTTACTAGTTTCCAACAGTATTTAATATTTTTAAAGGGAACCTAATGAAACTCAGAAGATATCTGTTTTTCCTGCTGTTAATATAGTTCTGTTAATTAAAGAAATTTATTTCTGACCATGCATATAATAATTTAACAAAAAGCAAGTTCCCAAGTCTTTTCAATCACAAATTTTAATAAATCAGAGGAACATGACACTTGTGGCTTCGGATTAAAGCACTGCTTGTTTTCATTTAGTGCTCACTAGATATTAGCATTAAACTGCTTTGAAGCCTGTACTGTATTTAGCCTTTCATTTTTACAGAGAACACAGCACTCTTTGCATGAAGGCTTTTATTTTCAGTCTCCAAATGACTAAAAATTGTCTATGTTCAATTCATTCCAGGCATACAGTAATTTTTACCTTTCAGCTATTTAAACTGTAAATATTTCATAAATAAATTAAAATTATGAAAAACAGAAGGGTACACTATATGAAAATATATTTAGTATATATTACCTTATTTCTTAAAAGTTTAATTCATAAATGTCATTCTATTCATTGTTCCATTTTCCCAAAGCTTCTAGATTTTTTTATATTTTCCACTTGAAAATAAATAAATAATTTTAAAAAATTAAATAATTCTATTTCAATTGTACCTCTAATCTGATATTAAAAACAAACAGAGAGACAAACACCACTTTTTACTGACTAGAGTAAACAAACTTGAAATACTTATTCTTCATGGCTTAACACTCGCCCTGTAGAGACAACAACTGAACAACTCAAAAAAATTAATATTTCTTTTTGGGTTTGGGTTTGTTTTGTTTTTTTTTAATTGGAAGTGAGTATAACAATAAATAGTGAGTGAAAATACCATTACTTCATTATATTTTGACAGGAAAATACCTTGCTTTGTTTGAGAGACACAACACATTCATGCCCCAAATGCTGAGAAATGTAGAGGATAAAGCACATTTAGGTATGAACTGAATGTGACAGGATCTCAATCAATAAGGTTTGGGGAGAGGGGGTTGCTTATCTTTTAGTCTGACATTATTTCTTGTAAGGAAACTCTTTCATGCATGTCTAGAGTAAGGGATCTAGGACCAGGTGTTTGCTCTTAGACCTTGCTGCTCTATTCAGTTGCACTTTAACTTGGTGTCGGGGCAAAACTCTGACAACCAGGAAAGCCTTTCTTCTCATGTTGGTTTCCTCAGAAAGGAAACCCAAGGATGCAGGGCTGGACAGAAGCTGTGGTATACTCCAGCAGGAAGACCAGACACAGCTGTACATTTTTTCAGCTATGAAAACCTGCAAGATTAAGCAACTCACTTGAAGTAAATTTACAGTAGGTACACAGAAAAACTACGAAACTTGACATTGCATTTCAGCTTCATGGTCTTACATGAACTCTCTACTTCTTACACGGAAGCAACAGCAGTGAACCTTAGCCACAGACTGCAGCTATTTATAAACACCTGTGTAAAGTTTCAAGTCCTTTCCATCTGTTAAGCATGTGATCTGAATGCAAATGGGTGCTTTCCAAACTCATCTGTACCTCTGCTTGAACTGTCTCAATGTCAACATGTGTAAAATGCTTCTTATCTAACTGTACACTGAAGCTCACAGAAACATTGAGAAACAAAGTAATGGTTGGGATGGTAAGACCAATTTGCTTTAACTGTCAGGCCTGTGATAGCATAAATTATACACTTTGGATCCATACAAAGCCTTGCTTTTTTACAATGCAGGGAGCCAATAAACACTAAATGAACATCAATATCATTACATGAAATAGATTCCAGTTTAAAAGTTAAATCTTGGTATTCATGACTCCCTTCCTATCTTCACAGTGGTTTCAAAAATATATTTTCAATACCACTCTGAGATTATTATTTTTGTTCACATTTAATAAGACAAGATTTTTTTAAAATCACAGTCACAATGATGTAGTCAGATTTTGATTTATAAAAAAGGTCAGGACAACTTTATTTTTTTAACGATAGTCAGAAATGACTGGACCTCCCTTGGGGATATAATTATATCACAATCTATTGCTGCTGAATGCATTGGGGCACTTAAGCTTGTTAGAGGAAATAAAACATTCTTTATTGCCTACAAGCAAATAGAGGAGTATATAAACTAATCAAATCCTGAAAGACCAGCTTCAAGAGATACACAGACAGGGAAAGAATCACACTATGGGTTTTGTGTCCCTGGGCACAAATGTTCTTCTTTTAGGAAACTGAGATTGCTGCTTGCTTTCATCTTTTTCACTATATCAGTGATAAAATTTTTCAAATGTGGGTGGCCAATTGCTTCTATGAAAACTTGAGTAACTGTTGCTTGCAAGAGAAGGGAGATGGGAGAGGATCAACATAAGGAACAAAGCTTGTTAGGATCAACTTTTGAATCTGAATGAGCATCCCAACACTTCCTAAGGCAAATGATAGCTTTGAGGTGCTTCAGTTCTGGCTTCTTTGATACTCAAATTACTAATACATTATTAATAATATTAATATTACTTAATGATTAATATTGAATATGAATATTAAGATTTGTATTATGATGTTATTACTGAATCTGCTTCAATACACCACTAGACCTCTTGGATTTTGACTCAAATCATTGTCTGAGAACTCTTCTTTCCCTAAAAGTGAAGGAGCTAAAAAATTATTGACTACTAAAAATTAAGCACTCCCTAATTTTTGAGAAAAACAAAAATCAAGTATTACTTGAGTCTATTCACTATCTAGATTCCCTCCCTGAACACCACTTACATAAACATTGATCAGAAACAGTTGAAGACAGAAATGTACGTTGTGTAAACAAAGGGCACACAAGGAAAGATCTCAAGGAAGATAATTACATTCTCGAGTGTGGAGAGGAGTGATGACACCAACAGGGCATAGCAATGAAGCTATCCTGACAGTGCCTCCTGTCTCAAATGAAGGCAATGCCATCAAAGATCATGCATTACAGATGTTTTATCTCTGGTAGCTACAGCAGCTTTATTGGAATTTGTGAAAAGTTCATCTAGGTTAGGGTCTTCTACAGAGTCCTGGCAGGTAACAAGCCTGTCTCTCCCACCAAGCAGCCCAAACAGCTTTCAGATTTGAGCTAGACTAGGCCTTGGGTCTGAGGCAAGCTCAGTACCTCACAGATCTGTTCCATCAGGAGAAAACAGTCCTCTATGCACCTCTATACACAACAGACCTCTTTTTATAAAATAAATGCTGTGACAAACCTGCAGGGGAGAGGCTTGTGCGTGGAGGTCACAGGTGGATGAGGCTTAGGCAGAGCAATATGTATGAAAATGACAGAGACAAACAGTGCCAGAGTAGGCCAGTGCGCTGGGAGCAGCTGGGAAAGCAGCCATCCCTCTTTGCTGTTCTTACATGTTTGCTCAGCAATTACTCCAGCTATTTCACATGCATACTCAGGATTTGACTGCCTTTATTCACCAAGATCCAGACTCTAAACTATATGCCTCCAGGTCATGCACAGTTGTATCCTGTCATTGATACAGAATGATCACTGAGTGTACTTCTGTGATTAGAAGAGTAGTGCCCTGCCGACTGTTCACATCCACAAATACCAGTTTGCCTAATAATTGGGATAGCATATGCATATTTGGAAATGCTATTAAATGTAGTTTTGCTCATATATGCCATATTCTTCTTTAAAGAAGCTTGCAATACTGAAAGTTTGGTCTAGATAGAAAACAACCAGTAAAATAACCACACCCATTTCACCACCAGCCCTAGGTAGAAAGCAAAGCAGTTCTGAGTTTTGATGTTTTATCTCCACCTAATTTATTATAAAACAGCTGGAAAAGTCACTTTGCCTTTCTTCCCTGGTGTTTTTATCTATATAATGAGAATAGGTAAAGATGGCTTGCAAGCCTGATGTCATTACAAAGCTGCACTTGATAACTAATAATTAATGTGGCTAGTCTGTTATAAAATGATACAAAATATAAAATACTTGGTAAAAAACCTGTCTTGACACCCAAAGCAGTCATTTAAAATGATGAATCAGAACAGAAAAACAAAGCATTGAGTCACTTTTGCAGGCTTAGGCCCTCAAACTTCTCTTTCTTGATTCCTCATTCAGAAAATGAGGATAAAATATTGTCCCACCTAATAAAAGAATCAAAGATAAAGCTGAGCTCCCCACAAGCAAGTCAGTCAAACCTCTGGTATCTGGCTACATGCCTTCATCTCCTTTTAACTGAGTGCCCAGCTTGGCAGTCACTGGCTTGATTTAAGTGTTGCTGAGCCTTGCAATGACACGTGAAGAAAATGGGAGCAGTAAACAGACAGTATTTCTGTGAATAAGGGAACACGACTGGGAAGAATGTGCACAGGGACATGGAATCACAGGATTCTGGTTCAGATTAAGGGCTGCCTCTGATTTACATGAGGCCTTCATAAGTAATTTTAACTTTTCATCAATTTTTTCCACCAGTCAATGGTATAATGTGTTCCAACACTACCAAGGGAGCAACAGAATACACACTAACAGTTTTGAGGCACCCAGATATTGCAATAAACACCAATAAAAGCATAAACAAATAGCTAATATTCCTGTGCAAAATCTAGCACAGCTTTGCTGCGCACTGCAGGCTGGATCCCATATGGAAAGCTGAGAGACCGCAAGAGGATGATCAATTTTTAATTAATGACACAACATATGATTAGCCAATTAAGACTATCCCAGAGAGGATACACATGTAGGGCCGAATTAACATTGCTCGTACAACATTTATTCTTTAATTTCCTAACTTTTTGGTGCTGCATCTCCTCCCCATCAGCAAAGCTACTCTGGCACTGTGAGACGGTAAGAGATGCATCAGACACCGCTTGCACTTGAGGGCTCCTTTCAAGAGCAGGGTCTCCTCTCCCCAGCACCGCACCGGGACACGACACCGTGTGGGACCCCCCGGCCCTCGCAACCCGCCCCACACCGACCTGTCGGGCTCATGGCTCCGCTGCCTGCGCCGTCCCGGCCACCAAAGTCCCGGCCCGAGGGCTCTGTCCCGTCCCAGGGGCTCTGTCCCGTCCCGAGGGCTCTGTCCCGTCCCGAGGGCTTTGTCCCGTCCCAGGGGCTCGGTCCCGTCCCAGGGGCTCTGTCCCGTCCCAGGGGCTCTGTCGGGCCCGAGGGCGGCGGGGCGGAAGCGCGGGGCCCTCCCCGGCTGCTGAGGCCTCGGGGCTCCGCTGCCCCTGGGCCCCACCCATATCCTCCCCTGAACACACACCCGCGCAGCCGGCATCGCCCCGGCACCAGCGGTAAGAGCCCTCTGCTGTCGAGCTGGTCTGGGGAGAAAACGAGTGGGTAATCCAACCTTTCCAGCTGTCCAAGAGTGTTGGGGTTTGGTTTTCTCTCACGCTCATCCCGTGGAGAAAAGCCCCTCACTGACGGAAGGCACCTGGGAGGTATGCCCCAGCCGTCAAGTGTTCTGGTGTGGTATGATAAGCCACCTCCACGATCTTGTGCCATGTATTTATTTTTTGGAGGGGCGCAGAGTGAAACAAAAACTAAAATAAAATTCAAAACGAGACACTGCAAACGCTTCAGCTCACTGCTGCACTGGCCACCAAATTTAGTCAGGAGACATCAATCAAGGTGGCATTTCCAAGTTCAAAATAAGGGCCAGACCCACCACAAGGAGCTGGAGTTTCCCTATTAAAAAGGATTACTCAAAAACTGAAAGAAATTTCTGAAATAAGTTTTCAAAGAAAGCAAACCTTTGCAATCCACTTTGTGCATAGATGTGTGCTTCTGCCCACCCAAACTCCCGTATTCACCTTTTCTACCTGAACTTTACTGCGCTGGGACTGATTTTAGTGAAACACGGCGAAGGTTTTAAAGACTTCAAAAGTGAATTTTCTAAGTATCTGTTTCAGGAATGCATGTGTCCAAAATAAAGAGACTGCTTGGACTGAAGGAAAGGCTGCAGAATGAATTCAAGCAGTATTAGAGGAGGAAAAAATCACATAGAGGAAGTCTTTATAGACGTTTTAGTGTGACAAATCCTTCACAGTTTGCAATCAACTACAAACCACAAATTGCAGGAGGCTGGACTTCAGTCAGGGAACTACCTCTGTAAAGACTTTGCACACTGTGGGGACCAAATCCAGCTGAATTACCTGGAAAACTGAACCCTCTCAGCTGATCCTGTTTCTATCATTACACAGGTAGATACATTATTTATGTTTCAGGGGTTATTTTCAGTTACTTCTGCTAATGTGTGGGTGGGTTTGGTAAATTTCTGACTTGGTCTGGCCTACCACACAGAGGAAACACAGCTACACAGACCCTGGGGAAAGTGTGGACTAGATCCAGTCATGTCAGGGTACATGTGCATCAGGAAGAGAGCCTGGAATGCCTCCCGTAGTTCCTTGCTGCTCATTTTTTACCTTTGGATTTTATTCAAGTGGTGGGTATCTGGGAAATACCTCAGTCTAGTACTGTATTTTTGGGCGCAAGGGATGCAGCACTACAGTGTCAATGGTCTTGAGCTGTGAGCAGGATAAGCACGAATGAGATATCTCATAAGGGAGGATGCAATATGTCAAACATAAAGCATTTAGAAATACTGCATCTGACTATTTTTCCATGGCAATAATAATTGCTGCTTCCTAAAAGGTGGGTTAGGTAACGTCGTTGGATGCAGTTGGAATGATTGAATGTTCTGAACTGTGGATCTTCACTGTAGAAATAGGAATTCATGAAAAGAAAAACAATCATTAAATACAAATGTACTTAAATATTTAAATAACTAAAATGGAACTTGAAACTCTCATTCCAGTCAAAACAAAAGAAAATTAGGGAATTGTCCTGGGTGTCAGGATGAGGGACAAAATGGGTTGTGACAGCCCAATTGTTTACATTTTGAGAGCCAGCACTGTGGAAATGAGCCCTAAAAGGATGAACACGATTTGCTGTACTCAGATTTTAAACCAAATAACAGGCAGGCTTCTACTAGCCATAGAAAGAAAATCCTTCCGTGGCATCCTAAAGCAAGAGGCCCTGCTCTACATGGAGGCCTTGCTGAGGCCTCTCTCAGTGCGCATGGTGTGCCCAGAGACCTGCAGTGGCCAGGGCAAAACCTGTGTTCTCTGCTGGTGGCCAAGGTGCTACATGTGGGGTGATCCATGTAAGGCTGTAAGGAGACCATCTGGAACAGATTACTGAGGAGATGGAGACAGAAGGTAGTGCAGGAGTTGTTTTGTCAGATCCCAGTTTAAGGGAGGAAAGGACTTGGATCGTGGCAGTCTTAAAGGACTGCTTGGTGTGGTGCAAGTCGTTCCTCTTGGTGGGTGCACTTTCACCTCTCCCTGAGTCTGCTGGGTCTGTGCTTTTAGTTGTACCCAACTGAGCCTTTGCTACTGAGCTTAACTAGTTTACTCTTGAACACAGATTTTTCCTGAGCTGTGGTGCTGCCATCACAACTTTTGAGACAGTGAGAACAGCCACAGGAATGGTGAGCACTCTGCTGGTCTCTGACTGTTTGCAGCTCAAGACAGTGGTAGGTATACCAAAGCCCAAAACCAGCAGAATTATTTCTACAAGCAAACATCTCAATTCTCTAACTGCAGGGTTATTTCCATCAATTTATACTGCTTTTACCAGCCCAGTCATGAACATTTTCTCTGCTGTAATGTCTGCATATACTAGATATTACTGCCAGTGTCAGCAGACTCCTACTCACAAATTAAGTTTGCTGTGGGGTCTGTCAGAGGTCTTCTCTACAAGTCCAGAAGAAAAATTAGGTTTCCCCAGTTCTTCAGCTTCCTAATGATTGCACTTTATATATATCATAAAGCCACAGAATTTATAATTCATGCTGGAGGTGTAAGAACACTCACTGTTTCTAGGCGAGGAAAAACTGCTTAAATTATTAAGCAACCTTGGCGCGTGTCATGAAGAAGTGCTGTGTTAGAGGGAAAAGAAACAAAAAGTCCATGTTAAATCATGGAAAACTTGTCTTGGGAATGACATCAGTGTTGTGTTTGTCTGTCTGTCCTTGGTATGAATTTCAAGCTTCAATTTTAATAAATTTATTTGAAATATAAGCTTACTTCCAAATGTCCTAGATTTGGGGACACTAATTTGGGGACAACTGTGCTTCTTCAATGCTTTTTAGCTTTGGATTTTCGCTGATCTTGTCAAAACTTTCTAATACTGCTTTTGTTTTTCCCTTTGTGAACATTTTTCTATTGTTGGAATACTGACTTTTCCTTATACAATTAATATCCAATACATTTTCAATATAATTTCCTACACATCTTACATATTTGTTTTCCACAGATCTGCTAAAATTTGAAAAGCCTTCTTTCTGTTAAAGAGCTTGAAATTGTTTTGAAAGCTTTATTCACGTTCATTACTAACTTAATTTTAATTTAGGTTTCATTGTAAAATCCATTGACAATACTGCTAGGTTATACTACAATACAGATAATATTGCTATAATCGCTAACACAATCAGTTGGAAATATTGCATGTCAGATAATACTGTTAGTTTCTGTATTTTAGCAGGAGTTTGCATGTATTTTAGATTTCATGCTGTGTAGTCATTTTAGTTTTTCTGCACATGCACACAGATACTGCATTTTGATGTTTGATGTTACTGCAAGAATTAACATGAAGTTAGCTGAAGTGGAAAAAAGGAAAAATTAAGTACATGATATATATCTAAACACTGGTTAAATCTTACGAAGATATAGAAAAGAATAGAGTGTAACTCAGCTTGTATGATAGCTTTCAAGAAAGCAAGAAATTTGTGTTTGAGACCTTAATTTTGTTATTTAAGTTCACGTGCACTAAAATAAAAACAAAGCAGATCTAGAACAGAACATGATTCTTAGAGAAAATGTCACTGTACACAGTTACAATCTCAGTTAAGAAAAAAATGGATCAAATGAGACAAATCTAATAGCTTCTTTCTTATGATTAAATTTCATTATGATTAAATTGGTTAATGACACAGATGAAACATAAGAGAATATAAAATAGGTGGCCTGGAATATAAAAACACTGCCAGTATGTCTTGAAAATTATTTATGTCATTCTTTAATTTCATTCTTGTATGTATGAAAAAAAGCTGTTTCTTTCCCTAGAATCTTCAGTGGTCACAACAGTGTTAGGTAGTTTTGAAAGAATTTTAGATACATTATATACATGTGGGGGTTTTTAAAAGCTCTTTACAGGTATAACAGAGAGCAGAAATAAATTCTTCTCCCCATCTATGGAATATAATTTCATGTCCAATTACCTGTTACTGTGATTTAAGCTTTGGAATGCATGTATAGGTCACATTAATGTGCAAGATTTTGCTTAATAAAAATCTATGTATTGAGGTTGCCACATTTAAGCCTTCAGTGGTAATAAACTGAATTAATTATGTTGTGGTTAGAAACCAGTTCAAATGCTGTTTACAACATAAGAAAGTCAATGCTCCAATATAATGCTATATAGCAAGATGCTTTTACACGATTAGAAAGGTAATACCTGATGTGTCTTGTACGTCTTACAGTAATTGTTGGCAAATATGAATTTTTAATGTCTGCCATCAGGGTTGTTTTATACCTCTATTTGAAAATGTGTATTGAAGAACTACACCACTAATAAATAACTTGATGCAGTACCCAGCAGGATGTTAGAAAAATGTAGATTGAATTGATTAAGTAGACAGCAGAGTGGTTTATGGATTATAAGTAGAGCTTGGTTGTAAATTAACCGATGGCCTGTCTTGCCACATGCAACCAGCAAACAAAGGCATGACCAGGAAGACAATAAATATTTCTTGAGGCCAGTTCAGACCCCAATAATAGTGTGTTTTTCCACTCCACTGGAAGCATCACTGGATTCATAAGTACTAGATTTGTTAGATCTAGATTATTCACTGTTTTAGGGATGTATTCTTGGCTAGTCAGGCTTATTGCTCTTCACTCTCATTGAGGTCCATGGACATACCTTCCTATGCATTACTCTTTCTTCTTCTTTTCTCACATTGTAATTTTTTTTCAAGTTAGTAAAAGATTTGCCAGGATTTCTGGCAAAGTAGTGACTGCTTGAGCCACAACAGAGTAATGCTTGTCTCATCTCTAAAATTAATTGCTGAGAGTCGTCTGGAAGATAGAGGAAGGCAAGGCTTGAATT